ATGATGAGGGGAAGAACTAGGAGAGTGGCAAATATCAAGCACAAAAAATACTTCAACATTCCAAATAACTAGTAATTGCAAGTTAATAACACCTGCAATAAATTTATGGTCATTTTTTTCCATTTTTGTTTGGTTCTGTTTTGAATGAGAACCATCATGGCTCGAGCTTTGACAGCTTCTTAATCTAGACAAGGTCTCTTCTTTTTTTTTATAACAAAACAACTAACTCATTGTAGCACGCAAACATAAAAATTCTTCTCAAAGTATTTTCTCCCCCCAACCTAAACGATGCATTGTCCTCAATGTAAAAAGCAAAATCACAGAGGTTAGGAGATTAGCTTAAATAATGAACCATGTCTATATATAGATATGTATATATGTGGTTTGCTTGATTAGCAATCTACCAGAGCGGTTACAAGAGTAACATAGTCTTCCAATTGCAGCAGTAGACCACCAATTCATGGTCACTTCAAATTTTTAACCGTCTCCCTGTCCTTTCTCAAAAATTTTATTAAAAAAGTAAAGATGAACTATGAACCTACAAGGGATTATGGCCAAAAACACAAGGGAAAAAAATTACAAACGAAAAACTAACAACTCGTAAAAGTAACATTGCTTTTATTATTATGTTTATGGGTCTTGATAAATAGGGCCTTTTAATTCAATGGACTCCTCTCCTCTTCAGGTGGGAAATTCTCCAAAACTGGTTTAAAACGTTGGCCAATCACTTTAAAAACATTACCATTCCTGGGATTTTCAATCTCAACGGCCCCATGAGAAAAAACAGTTTTAACTATGAAAGTTCCGGTCCATCTAGATCTCAATTTACTGGGAAACAAATGTAGTCTACTTTTATACAAAAGAACCTTTTTGTGAAGGCTCAACAATTCATTTGAGTACAAACAATATTAACATTAAAAACATATCATATACAATGACACGGGGAGGACAAGTCAATCAACTAGGGGCCCTTTTTTCTTTCAAAACAGCACCCCTTTCCTGCTCCCTTATCTATAAAAATATGAAATCTTGCCTTTAGGCAATAGCAATATTATCTTTTATTCGATGAAAAGCTACAAACACAAGACCGTTGTGAGTAAAAAGGTATATATATTATGTAGAGGATTAGAAAATTAAGATAAAAATTACCATCTTGTTGCGCTGAATTCGAGCAGCCCAAGCACCGTTGACAACATTGCGGTCAGATCTAGTGTTCTTGCTATTATCTAAGTCACCCAATATATATTACATAAAAGGAACAAATAAGAAACAAAAGATGGGTAGTAATTAAACGGAAAAACAAATAAATATTTGAAGAGCAAAATCAAAATATAAAAGGACTGGAGGTACAATGAAATCTTGTCTAACCTTTGAGAGAGGTTTTGTGGATGTTATGAGATGATTTCAAAGCAAACCGAGTCTTATGGCCCTGGTTGAGCAATTTATATTGTTGATGGCTCAAATGTAGTTTTTCTAAAAATTTAAATTAAATACATTAAATCACAATTAAATATAAATTGAGAGAATGAATATAATATCCAAAATTCCTAGAATAACTACGTAATTTTAAGCATTCATCACACCTCCCAACCAGCTTTAATTTTAGAACCTAGCAATTAAGGCGACTAAAATAAAATCAAAAAGAAAAATAAAAGCAACTACTCTAAACCACTTCCGCAAGAAATCACGATTGAATTTAGCACATGCAACAAGCCCTTAATCCAATAGATTACCCCTCATGGACGAGTTAAAGTCTCGTGTTTCCAAAGATGTTACCCACAAACATCCAAAAATTTCTTTACTAAAACAACTTCTTTCATTCTCATGCCAAGGTTAAAGAACCAGTCATGAATTTCACAACCTTAACAAGATAATCAATCAAAGTTCAAAAGACTAGCAGCAAGTAAAGATATCTCATGACATTCAAAATTTGGAGTGTGTGAAAAAAGTTCAACCAACACAGACACAACCTTAGCCTTAAAGTGAAATATAACCCAAATCTCTTTTTGAAACATGCTTCGACTCAAATCTCACCAGTTATTGCACTCAACAAATAAATCACTCAGAATATGGTGCAAAAATTGCTCTCAATATATGCGAGTAGAACAATGTAAATCAAAGGCAAAATATCCCGCATACTAATTTTTTGAAAAATGCTAATATGAAAGAGTAAATAAATAGTCTCATGAATGGAATATCAAATACTGAGAAATAAAATTTCTAGAAATGTTACCCACAAACGTCAAAATTTTTTTTACTCGAAGGATTTCTTTCGTTCTCATGCTAAAGTTCAAGAACAAGTCATGAATTTCACAACCTTAACAAGATAATCAATCAAAGTTCAAGACACTAGCAGCAAGTAAAGATCTGATGACATTCGGAATTTGGCGTGTGTGAAAAAGTTTAGCCAACACATACACAACCTTAGCCTTAAAGTGAAATATAACCCAAATCTCTTTCTGAAACATGTTTCGACTCAAATCTCACCAGTTATTGCACTCAACAAAAAAATCACTCAGAATATGGTGTAAAAATTACTCTCAATATATGCGAGTAGAATAATGTAAATCAAAGGCAAAATATCCCGCATACTAATTTTTTGGAAAAACGCTATAATGAAAGAATAAATAAATAGTCTCATGAATGGAATATCAAATACTGAGAATTAAAATTACCACACCATTACCCCAATCCATCATGTCTGTAACGCCCTCAAAATAAACCCATAATATATAACATTGACATGCATTAATAAAAGAAAACCAACCATTATACCATTCATCAGAGTATTCTTATTGAAAAGCATTACATGTAACATCAAAAGTAAATGCCCTACGGGCTTACATCTTTCCAAGCCAACACTTGGACACAAAATGTGAGTACTAACTCAACTACAAATTAAGCCCTTGGCTTGATTGTTTACATGTAATATCAAATAAAATAAATAACAACTAAACTAAACAGAGTCTTCAACTCCAACTCCTTCCAAGCTAAGTCCTTGGAGGTAGCATATCACCTGAACCTGAAAATGATGTTCCCGTATAGGGTGAGCCACAGCCCAGTAGAAACATACTAAACCAAATATAAGCATTGAATAAAGCAATAGTATTCAATAGATGGTTAACACAACTATTCACTTTCCCAACATACAGTTTCATGACATTAATGTCGATGACACATTTCATTTTCCATTATTTGTTCAACTTTCCATTTATATCAATATGGCTCAGAACCTGGCCAAACTATAACAGTGAACTAAATATCACATTAACATTTCTTCCAATATCAACAAAACAAATGAGACTAAGGCTCATACCAAAACACTTCCATACTTCCCGATTGATACACATTTTAGTGCTGTATCAACAACATGCAAAAACACTTCCATAAATCAATAAGCACACATATAGTGGTGCTAATGGAGTCCATCCCCTATCTCCTCCCAAACAAAAATACATATACAATGTATTAAACACTTGTCATGTACAACACACAATCAATACATGTATTTTCTGTATTAATTCAACAGTCAAAATCAACGACTTAACCAATGTGATTAGTTTCAGTTTTCCCTAATCCACATGCAATGTCTACAACAATCACAACTATCCTCCACCGATAGCCCAAAACAATTATTTCTAAACAGGAAATAAATGAATCAACTAATATAATTCCAACATTTTCATAGGTGAGTGATTAAACAAATCAACTACACCATTTAATTAATAAATTCATCAATTTCATGAACTCAACTAAATTCCCCAATTTTCCCTAAATTAATTATACAAATTAATTTATTACAACAATTAGAGTTTTTCCCAAAATTACCAAACAACCCCCAACATATCAAAATACCAAAACTTAGGACAAAACCTATAATATGGAGTAGGAAATCCCTACCTCGAAGTGAAGAACTCAAACAGAGATGATGACCAAAGACCAACGTGCTCCAAATCCCAAGTTTCTCAGATTAAAACGAAGCCCTCAACCCACTCTACCTTTCTTACAAAGGACTTAGTATAGATTTACACTAGAGGGAGATGAAAACCTAGAGAGAAGGTGTGTAGGGAGAGAGAGAAGATGGTTCTAGGGTTTTGAAATCAAAAGGGAGATGAAAAAGTGATATTGAAAGGTTGTTATTAAAGCCCATTAATTGGAAAATGAAAAGACAAGTTAAAATTAAATGAACACTAATTGAAATTAAATGAACACTAACTAGAATTAAATGAACACTAGTTAGAAATATGAATGGACAAGTTTGAATATGAATGGACCACTAATAAGGGTAGTAACTGAACTACTAATAAGGATATTAAATGAACAAGTTTGTAAAAAATAATAAGGATATTAAATGAACAAGTTTGCAACCACTAATAAGGATATTAAATAAACCACTAATAAGGATATCTTTGCATGTTTTTTTCCACATGAAACTATTAACAAAGTTTTTTTTTCCCACTTTTCCTTCCATTTCTTTTTCCCTTCTCATACAAGATCCACCGGATGCTTATCATGAAATATAGCCCAAATTATTGGAAAGGAATTTCCAAACCTCACACATATGTTGGAACACTATAGCAATTGCAATCAAATACTTCACAGGATCAATATAAATAAATTATATATTACATATATATATAACACCACGTATATCAGTATAACCAATTGCCCTATTTTTGTTTCATCATAGAGTAGTTGAAAAAGGCGTCATTTCAATACATTATGTAAACAAAAACCTATGAACTACTCAATTCTCAATTCAACAGCACACCCAATTTTCAAACAACACAATTCAAATAATTTTGGTTGAAACTCAAATTAAATTGTATGAATCGAATCGTGCATCATACAATTCTAACACCATACTAGTCGGAACCTGTAAAAGCCATGTCAATAGAATTATTTTGATCAATTACTCATGAAATAAAATATCCATTTCCAAGGAATTGTAGCAATGTAAGTGAATTTATTCTTCAGTGATAACTAAGATTAGAAATTACATGGTTGTCGACTCTGCTAGCTGGTGCCGGACGCAAGACGAGATCCGCTTCCAGTTCAGGTTGAAGATATGCAGGCACCCCCATCACCTTCTATCTCCATGCCCATGTTAGCGTCCCAAGAATCACGCTCTGCATCACAAAATCAAAAAGGATAAACGAAAAAAAAAAAAAAACTAAAAAAAACGAGGGCCCAATTTAGTCTCCATTTCCAAGCAATGGCAGCAACATAAGTGAAGGAATTATTGAGTGATAACTGAGATTACCTGGTTGTTGACTCACTGCTCAGTTGAGGAATTCTTTAGTCTTCATCACTTGTGTTACTACTCGCTGCTCAGTTGCCATTGAATAAAAAAAGGTCTACATTAATCGCCCAAAAAACACATGGATTTATTACATATAGCCCAACAAACATTAATTATGTAGCAACTACCACCAATAAACTACTAAGTGAATTTTTAGACCATGTTGTAGAAGCTACACTGAAATTTCGAAATCTTAGCAAGAGAAAACTTCTAACTAATTTCCTTACATTACTCCCTCAAGTATGATTTGAGATTGGCATGATTCTTTGCTTAGGATTTAGTTTCTTTATTTGACTGAATTTTCAGATTTAGAAGTAGAAAAGAAGAAATATGAAACATGGATATCAAATATTTTGGTAACTTATCCTCCTGTAACATCAGTCTTGCATTTGTAGTTTTCTCCATTATTGCTAAAGCTCCTGAAATGTAGAGAAGCAAGTTCCTCATGTCATCTTTCTGTTCTATTCTTAATAGATATATGTAACTTATTTTATTGGAATGGTCTTAGTTATAATTCTTGTAATTGTTGTGTCCTCAAGATATTTGTATATGACAAATGCTAAAAGTGCTGGATATTGGGATTGAAATAAAGAAGTGTCTTGAAAATAGGTCAAACAGTTAAAAGAAGTGCATTAATTTCAATAAAAACTGCATTGAATTTAATAAAAAGTCTTGTGTTTTCAAATTTATTTTCTGGTCTACTTTTCGTGTCCTTGAGGCACTTGTTAACAAGACCCTTCATATATTGGTATTCATAATTATAGTTTTATTTTATTTTCGTCCTGTCAATGCTACTTCATAAATAAATTTTGTTCCTTACGTGATGCCACATCTTATTTTGTATGTTTAAAGTTATTATGCACCTTCCCGACCTTGTTGGAACAAAATATAGTATAGTAGTTTCGTACTGAAGCTAATTGAGCTTAATGGAGATTTGAACAACTAAACACATATGTTTAATTTCAAAAAGGAGGATCTAAAAGAATCCTTAGAGCCTAGTGTCAAGAGAAAATTGAGAAACTAATTGGCATGAGTAGTATTTTATTTTTGAGTTACGACTTATGTCTACAAATTGGCTTTCCTACTTAACAAAACGAATAAAAATAGAATCATCTTTACCGACTCAAACATGAATGAATGAAGGTCCTCATACTAGAATCAGCATCATGTAGAACCACCTCTCCAAAATAAAGAAAAAATAGACGAATTTCCTGAGTAAAACTATAGAATAGAAGAACAATGGTTACATCATCACATATGTAACCATAATGATGAGGGGAAGAACTAGGAGAGAGGCAAATATCACGCACCAAAAATACTTCAACATTCCAAATAAATAGTAACTACAAGTTAATAACACCTGCAATCAATTCATGGTCATTTTTTTTCAAGTTTTGTTTGTTTCTTGTTTGGTTGAAGGGCTATTTTTTATAAAATTAAACTTTTAAATAACTGAAAATCTCGGCGGTTGCCTCGCCCTCAATCTCCGTCATCATCTCCAAATTACATGGACTACCCTAACAGGAATTGCAATGTATGTAGAACTCTGAACGTGAAGTAAAAGCAAAATTAAATAAGATGAGACAAAAACAATACACATTTTTTAACAAAGGAAAAGTGCGGACATGCATATAGGAGTCACCCAAAAAAAAAAGAAGCAACAACATTATTTAACGGGAATTGCATTTTTATAACTAAAATCTATGGCGGTAGTGATGGAAAATTATTTGTACATCCACAAGCAAAGATGTAGGCAAGTTGCACCCTGCCATGACACAATATACATTGAATGCTTTGATTTTCAAGCTTTTCCAATAAAAGCCTCAGAGTACTACCAAAACAAAACTTGTCTCAATTCTACTAAAATAACTTTTTTACCTCATAAGAGAAAATTTGGTCTATAAATAGAGTAAAAGTTTTCACTGTAAGTAGGGGAACCAATGCATATATTAAAGCTGAAACACATAATAAAGCTAAAACAGAACATGAATTTCAAAATTACTATACAGAGTGAAAACATTGTGACATGCATCAAGAATAGAGTCAAAGTGAAAATATTGACATCATGCAATGCTATAGCAAAATACACATCAAGAGAGAGAGGAGAGATAGCGACAGTGGTGATTAAGAGTTTGATGAGGGTGTGTGGTCATAAAGCAATCAATGGATAGAGAAATCAATACCAGTAAAAGAAGACCACTAGAGGTTTGAGATTGAGAAATCGAAGCCACTGAGCATTGAAAAATCTTGTTAAGTTGCAAATAAACCCTAGCTATGAAATCTTCAACACACTTCATGAAGCTTGTTCGCCTGATCATATTGAAATCACATAAACAAAAATAATCACAAGAATAATCAAGCAATTTTATACAGATTTCAATTAATCTCAAGCAATTTGAAGCAAAATTTAAGCAATTCTCCATCATCAGAAAGACGATTACAGAAAAAGAAATAACTAGATTTCAAGATACGTGATGGATTTCAGACGATCTCACATTTCTTCTTCGTCTACTTCGTCTTAGGGTTTGAGTATGGTTTAGGGGGTTTCTGCTGCTTCGTCTAAGGGTTTTTTTGTGCTTCGTCTTCATGTTCTCCATCAGAAACACGATTTGAATGAGTCAATTTCAAAGGTTTTGGGTTTCTCAAATGGATAGAAGCTAGAGAGATCGAAAGGGTTTAGGTTTATGGAGAGAGAGAGCAGCGATGGAAGATAATGGAGAGGGAGAGAGAGAGGCGTCAATAAACAAAGGAGTGAAAAGAGAGAGGAGACCGTTATAAAACCCTAATTTTGAAGCGGTGGAAGATTAGTGAGAGAGAGGGGTCTAGAAACAAAGGAAGGAAAAGAGAGTGAAAGTTGTGAAACCCTAATTTTTAACACGTTACCTTGGGGGTAAGCGGAAGCAAGCTTCAACCAACCAAGCTACCTTAAAATGTTGATATGGAACTGAAATTAATAATTTATATATATTTATATACTAGTGTATGCCCGTGCCTAAAGGCACGGTATAAATATTGTTGAGATCAAAATGCAATCATAATTTATACGTATCATGCAAAAATTTGTAAAATATGTAACTTTTTTTGATAAAAATACTAAAAAAATATAAAGAAATATTCATTTTATTGATTAAAATATAATTAATCTAATTTGTTGGCAAAAAAAAATTTTGAGGACAAAATATAAATAGATGGTCCGTTTGGTTTGGATTTTCAAATAATTTTATAATTAAAGTTTGGTTGTATATTTTGAAAATAATTTTACAAATTTCAAATTCAAAACTTATTTGGTTTACAGCTTTCAAAAATAATTTTTAAAATTTTCAATCTGTATTTTATTACTTTTAGTAAACTTTTTAAATATTTTAATCAACATTTTTTACTTTTTCAGATCCATTCAATCTGAATAACTTAAAAATTATAAAATTTAGAGTAATGTTATAAAATTTACACTTAAAAATTTTTAAAATAATTTTCACAAATTTGAAATAAAATTTTATAATTTTGCATGATTTATGAATTTTTATGTATTTTAAGTATTTGAACTCAAATTATAGTAAATAATACATTTTAATTATTTTTTTATATTTTGTATAAAATAAATACTAACAAAAACAAAAACATAATTTGTTCCCAAGAGAGTGAGGCGACGATGGCCGTGGCCGCGACGGACAACAAAACACACTTTGTGTCCAAGAGCCACAACAACCCAAAAAAATAAAAAACAAAAAAAAAACTCTTCACCCCCACTTCATCTCACTCTTTCAAATTTCAAATTTTAAAACACACACTCACTCTCTCTCTCTCTCCCCTCAAAACAGACTTTGCTACCCCAAGAAGAGGCCAAATTTGTAAAGGCCAAAACAATAATCCTGCCATATAAAGTGTTTGAGACGTGAGAGAAAAGAGTATTTGGGCGGGACTCAAGTGTTTGGTACATTTTAAAGGATTGATCTTAACCATTGATACACACTTAGAATTAATTTAGACCATTAAAAATCATTTTGGACATTTTTAAAAATCATCCTGCCATATTATATAAATTTACCTTTGCCATTGCCACTATGTCAGGCACAATGCCTTGGGTCTCAAATCCCCAACAATGGCTCCCAGTGTGAGCAAACCCAGATTGAACCTCATCGGCAATACAAAGCCCTCCTGCTTTCTCAATATTGATGTATACGGCAGGGAAGTAACCTGGGGCCAATTCAATAATTCCACCCACTCCTTGCCATTTTAGAGAGTAGTTCAAATTAGACAGTAACTCGGAATAGGTTGTATTAATAGGAAAATGATATCCTCACACAATTTTCGTACAGAATTTAAGACAAAAATAATGTGGCAATGACACTCTTGCAATTATGAACCATAGTGATGGGCATTTGACTATCAATGCAAGGATATAAATGCGACACATCATTTTGCATAAATTTTTTTGTGTTAAATCCTGTGTGTACGTCATTACCCTAATCAATATAGCCACAAAAGGAAACAATAAAAACAAATTTACATAGACGATGCTTACCTGTATGGCTTCAGAAATAAAACCAGCTACATGCCCTGAAGTTCCAAAGGTAATGAGATCTTCGACATCTCTTGCATACTTCTCCCTGTCTGAACCAAAGACTCCACTGTATGGATCTGGGTTAAGGGCATGGTGAACTCCGCTCTGTTGACCAATCCAAAAAGAATGCCAGGATTAGGGAACTGGATTATCTTTAATAATAATTTGGTTGCATTGCATTTGTGAATGCTAATTTATGATTACTTGGTTCTTTAGTTAAGGATAAATGTAGTATAAGGTAAGATTGAAAGCTTCACAAAATAATTATTCTTCAATATGTTTAGTATCTTCAGCAATATCAACTGTAAAGTGTAAATGTTAACATAAAGCTACCAATGGTAAAAATAAGAAAGTAAACACAACAATCATGCAAATAACAAACTAAATTACGATATCCTCTGAGTTAACCTGTATGTCTGTATTGGCCACCGAATTCTAATAAAAACAGGAAATCAAACCCCAAATTACATATGTATTAATGAAATGAAGAAGAAGAACAGAGAGAGAAGGGGGGAAAAAATAACAAATAAACAACTCTAAAAATGTATGTATTCATGAAATAAAGGAGACGAACAGGGAGAGAAGGGAAAAAATATCAAACCCACAACACACCAATCAACAAACTGTACATAACCTTGAAGGGAATGTACAATAAAGAGCTGCACGAAGCCCGAAATTGGGGGTAAAATACCTCTGTTCTTGAAGACGACAGTGGGATTTGAACTCTAGCAAGCCAAATCAGTCAAAAACAAAAACAGAGAGAGAAGGGGAGAGGCAGAAATCGAGTGAAAAGACTCAATCTTACCTTGCGAGAGCACCGTCGGTAGCGAAGGGAGCCGAATTGAGCAGCGTAGCGAAGAGCCTGCAGAAGATTGTCTGTTCAGCACTGAAACAACAGCACCATCGAGCGGTGGACACAAAAGATCATCCTTCATGTCTGAAAATAAACAGGGTGCATAGTAATTCAGTACATTTCGTGAATTTAATTATCTTAGTTTGTAAAAACCATGGTGCATATTGGTTTAATATTTCCACACAATGAAACAAGTGCAACACAGTGAAATTATGAAGTCTGCTAAATGAGAAATTATGAAGTCTGCTAAATGAGAGGATATGAGTCAATTGAATTCCAAGAAAGTTAATTTTCCACAAACTCAGTAACCAGCTGGAAACCCCCCCTTTCTTGGGTCGTTAGCCGCCACGAGCATCCCCAAGTTTGGACACTCCAACTTTTGAGCAACGAGCTGGCAAATAGTCCTACCGTCTACGGAGTGTAGGGCATGGCATGGCCCTTCTTCTTGAGCATTGACAATGGCTGCATACTGGTCACCAAGAGAAGATGTCCATAATACAGCGCATTGGGAATTAACTGCACAAACCGTATTCTACCATATTAGAAGGGGTTCAATGGCTAGTCACTGTAACATTTTATAAAATGTATCGAAAGTAAGTGATTTTGATAACTGACCGTATGAAAGTATCTCAGAGCCATTATAGAGGAGAGTGGATTCAAACCCATGACCAAATGATTTAAGAAAACCTGAGTCGTTGCAGTAGGAATGTTGTCATGTTGATTCCTCCAGCTCCACCTAAAACCGCTTTCAGTTTTTTACCCTGCAAAGGCACAATAAGTAATCATGATTGCCAAGTCAAACAATTAATACTTCAAAATGCTTCTCCTCTTTATATATTGTGCAAAATAACAGTTTTATGAGACATTTCTATGCTAAATTTGAAAGAACAAGGTTGGTATCTTTTTCATTTTTAAAGTTCTAGTTTTCTTGTTTCAGAAAAATAAATAAATAAATTGAACGCATCTCTACTCTTCACATTGTTTTAATTTTTGTGTGCAAAACAATTTTTAAAAATTCAAAAAGAAAATTTAAATAAGTTTTTTTATTTTTATAAAGGGGGTGTAACTGAATTCTCCTCCCCCCCCCCCCAAAAAAAAGTTTGAAAAAAAAATTTTTTTTTTTAATTTTTTTTTTTTTTTCTGGAAAAAAAAAAAAGGAAAAAAAAAGGCTAAAATCGGAGATAGACCAAATTGCCGTTGTGATTGTGAAACTCTCTTTCAAGTCTTATTTTTATCAGCTTGTAACTTCATTGTTTCTTGTGCTCAGTGCACATTCTTTCTAATTATTGGAATTGTATGATACCAATCGTGAAGTTATTGATCAATGTTGTTCACATTAGTTCTTCCTATTACATGAGTGTGCAAGGTAGACAGTGTCTGACTGTACACAATCTTAGATGATGTACAATTAATTACTTCATGAATCATGATAAGGCCTTTGTAATTCTTGTTGACAAGATAATACCAATTTTACCCCTATAAAAATAAAAGAAATAAAATGATTGAAAATATAAAAAGGTTATTTTGGTAATATAACATAAAATAATTTCTTTTCTTTTCTCTTAATGAAATCTAACCAAACAAGAAGGAGAGAAATCACAATCATTTCTTTTCTTTTATTTCTTACTTATCCAAACAAAAAGGAGAGAAATTACAATCATTTCTTTTCTTTTCTTTTCTCTTATTACTTAAGTAATCATTTCTTTTCTTTTCTCTCCTAAGTTACCAAACATAGCGTAATCGAAGGACTTTTTAATCTAAAATCTAAACTCTACGGACATAATATACTGATACAAACAAGTACTCATTTCCAGAGAGTCTAAGTAGATAGGACAAATTTAAATAAATATATCACAGGTACCATAATCTATCACAACAGTGAAAACAATTACTGAAATGCTTACTTGCTGCAACCGTTGGATGACCTTCAAAATCGATACAATACGCTCTTGCTCATCGACCTCGCTGAAATGCTTCCGCCACCGGTCCCAATCCCAGTCTTCATCATCAACCACTTCACTTCCTCTCTCGAAAACATCAACACTCTTCAATACACCTTTCGACTGGTTACGGTTCTTAACCGCGTTCCTCAACACCTCCTGAATCACCGAATCCCACCGACGGTTAACGGAGGATGAGTTATCCGATGGAGAAGCTGAGGCCGAGTCATCGTTGTTCCTGTGGCACCGACAGAGTGCAGAATCGGAAACCCTAGAGAGAGAGTGAGGGCTTGATGAGAGAGAGTAGGATGATCGTCTCAATCGGGAGGAGATTTTAGGGTTTTGGAAGGCGAATTTGTGGGGGTTTGGATCGGAGCGAGGGGATGGAGAAGGGAATGTTGGCGGAGAGTCGACGCCATGAGAGAGAGATTAGAGAGGGAATGTAGGGATAAGGATGAATTTCAGAGAGAGGCCAAGCTCAGCAGTGAGTCCCAGCCGAGTAATTTTCAGAGAGCGGCAGATGCGGACTACGGCGCTGCTGCGGAAGAGGGGCGTCGTTGATGTGGTTGTGAAGGAGGCGGTGGTTCTGGTAACGGTGGTGCGACGGCGGCATTAGGGATCGAGAGAGAATCCTAGAGAGAGAAAGAGAGCGTGAGAGAGCAAGTGGAGAGAGGCAGTTAAGAGACGTTTGGCAGACGTGGGAGAGAGACTAGAGAGTGTTTGGGCGGAAAAAAAATTAAACTCAACCGCAGATATTGATCATTCAAACAAAATATAACATATTTTCAAAATTTGTTTAAATAAATACATTTTAACATATTTTTAAAAGTTGTTCTGTCTTATAATATAGATATTAGTTTTATCTTTATGCTTTTGTATATATATAAGTTGTTTTTATTTTTTTTTAAATAATTTTTTATTTTCTCATTTCACTCATCACTTTTAGCCACTACTCACCACAACTATCAATAAATGGCGAGTTCCGACCAAACTCTGGCAACTCTCTAGTAAGTGGGTGATCGTCGTTGTGATTTTCAATTATCAATTGGTATTCTTCAGGTCATCTTATGTCCTTCGACATCGTCCAACTACTAAATTCGGCAAATAAGTTCGACTGCCCATTACTAACAGCTACCACATCTGTCTACCCTTCATTTTTGTCCATTAAATTTGATAACTAATCATCACACTGTTAATTTTTTTATTTAAACCCTCTCATTCTATTTCAATGCGATATTCAAACTTTTTAATGTAAATTTAAAATTATTTTATTTAAGCCTTTCAACTTCATAATCAAGTTTGTGTAATCTAATTTATAATTAAGGCCTTACACTTTTTTTTGTCTTTAACATTTTTTTCAATTTATATATAAAAAAATAATATTTTTTCAATTAAAATAATTTTAAAATAAAAGAAAGTTGAAAATATTGAAAGCAAAAATAAATAAATAAATAAATAATAAAAACTGTATATTTTTAATCTTTGATGAAGTCCCTTTCATTCACTTTCTGCTCTTATTAATTTTTTTTTTCTTTTTATCTTTTTGTTCGTTATGGGGATATAAACTGAAGCAACGTAACTTTGAATAGATCACATAAGTGAAATGATTTATTTATCGAATTTGTTGTCACTCGAATCGTTTGAATTTGTACCAGCTGGACGATTGGTTTCACCCTCGTCTATCGCAGTTGTCATCCTGTCATCTAGATGACTAGTGTGAATAAATTCATACAATTCATACGGCACCAAATTAGATGAATGTAACATTCCTGATCACAAAAATGGGTCAGGGATTTGCGGGGCAGGAAAAACCGAACCCCATTAGAGGCGAGACGGTGGAATAAAAACGGTCTTCGTTAGAGATAAGGAATGGAAATGGAAAAAAATAATAATAATTGGAGATTGGGAACAGAGAGTGTAAAACTCACCCTTCTCGTCTCACTGCCATTCCTATTTATAACTTCTCCAACTGGTCGGGTAGGAGTTGGGCATTGGCCGAGTCGGACCGGATAAAATTTTATCACTTTATAAGCAATTTGTGTTGAGCTGATGTAATCAATTTAAGTCAAATCTAAAATTAATAGTATAATATAATTTTGAATTCCAATTATTATATATATATATTTTTTAAATGCAAGCGAACTAATTTTTATGAAATTAAAATTGTATTAAAAAGTCATCCAATCTAACGTTCTAACATACATAAAAATATATAATAATATTTCACTTATTACAAATACTTTAATAATTAAAATGTTATGTACTATAATATTATGCATTGAAGCATGAGGACGAAGCATAGCTCGCTTTCGGAGAGTTGGGATACAGGTTTGTAAAATTAATTTAAATCGAATAGATTACAATTGTCCTTTTTTTTTGTGACAAATGCAAATTAAATAGGTTATGATTATTGAATCGATATAATTTTTCTATGTTCACAAAATAAAAAAATGAAATGTCCAATATACTTAATAGTTCGAATTATCAAAGCGATATGTCTGATAGACATCACAAGACTAAACAGCGCTCTTCAGCTCAAATTATGGACCGTAAAGAATTTCCTCATATAAAATAACTACGTTAGTGATCGGGTTTTTTGTTTCTCTCTCTAATTTAAGAGTGGCCCGGAGAGAATTCCCTCATATAAAATAACTACATTAGTGATTGTGTTTCTTTTTTCTCTCTAATTTAAGAGGTTTCATAGGGCATAGGGAATCGAATTAAGAGGAAGATCCGTTCCAGTTAAAAAATTGGATTAGAGACCATTGTTTTGGCCCATGAGGCCTACCACATGCCCCGTTTCGATAATTTGAATCGTTCATTTTATCAAGTACTTTGTGTATTTCATCTACACAAAAAATTAAGTCCATTTGATAACTATACCTTATTTAATTTATTACTTTTTCACCAACAAAATTGACGACAATTGTGTTCTTATCCGACATGACTGCAACACTTATTTTGAAGTGTCAATACTTCATAGCACCTAGGTCTCTGCAACAACTTTCTAAAAGTCCTTATTGACCGGTATCCGGTTTTGATCAAATAAACTTTACCATTGCCCAAAACTTTACAATGCATAAGGTTCATTCTATCTTTTGATGATAATCGATATTTATATTTTATTCTTATTATGTGTTTTTTATTGACATTTTTCATTTTGTTTACATATTTTTATTGCTTAAGAGTTATGTGGTCCAAACATTACCATGCATACATATGATATTAGGATAGTTAATTATTATTATTTATTTTATTTTATTTTTATCAAACTAAACTAAACCTTGTATTTCAAACCGATCCAACCCAATAATTTGTCTGTGTATTGTCCCCCACGGCCACTGATCCCAACCACATTGATTTTTGTTATATGTTCTTCTTATTACATGTTTTTTATTGACATTTTTCGTTTTTATTTACATACTTTCATTGTTTGAGAGTTCTCCGGTCCAAACATTACAACGCATACATATGATATTAGAATAGTTTAATTTTTTTTTTTTTTAATCAAACTAGACTAAGCTTTGTATTTCAAACTGTTCCAACCCAATAATTTGCCTTTGTATTGTCCCCCAGAACCACTGATCCCAACTACCCAATTCTGCTAAATTTAATGTCCTTTTTCATTAAGTTTAGTAATTAAAATGCATTTTTTTTGTTGTTAATTTTACTTAAGAAAAATAGATAAATGATTTAGATTGAAAACTAATCAAAATATTAAGGTTTAAATTGATCAAATTAAAAATTCAAGATTTATTTTGTTAGAAGGATAATTTTTTTTTTTTTCTTTTGGATAATTTCTCCTAACTAATATTGTTGGAATGAAATAAAATAGAATGATCAATTTATTTTATACATTATAAATATTCATTATTGACTAAAAAATAATTATTACGAAACAAGATTCAATACAAAATTAAGAGACATTTATTTTAATTAAAGAAACAACACTATATTTTAAAATTAAAAAATTGGAGAGATATGTTTCACTAATTTTCCTTTTTATTATTGTATGGTAAATCAATAAGGAATTTTATTTTTTTGATTTAATTCTATCGAATAAAATATTTTGATAAGTGGGCATTTGTAATTTTTTAAAGTACAGAGAACAATCTATATTTTAAGCAAATCGTTAGGGATGTATTTGTAATTTATCCATTATGGAAATGACCAATTAGTTTCACTGAATTTTTTTCTTTTTTTAATTAAAAATATAGAATTTTTTTTTAAAAAAAATATATGGTTTAACCATTCTAATAAAATAAATTATAAGTTTTTAATTGTGTCAATATAACCTTTAATTTAAATTATTTGTCTATTTATGTCAAATAAAATTGATGAAGGATTAACATTTAAGTCATTATATTAAATATATTTCAAAGCAATTCCAAATTTTTTCTATTTCCAAAACTATTTCAAATCAACTTTAGCTCTATTACTAAAGCTGCATTAACTGAACCAATATCTAAGTTGAAGTATGCAGTACATCATATTTTCAAATTAATCAATTTTTTTTTTTTAATTTTTATGAAACTTTTTAAAGAAGTTATTTGTTACTAATTCATATAAAAATTTAAGAATTTGTATATCGAATTAATAAAAAAAATATTTATGAAAATTATGAAAAAAAATGTGTTAAATTTAAATTTGGATGATCAATGTAGAATGAGTAACTAATTTTTAAAATGTTGGTTGGTTTAAAATTATTCAAAAATAATTTTTAAATTTTTAACTCATATATATTTTTTTATATTTATAATGAAATTGGCCACTTGTTTTTCAGATACATATACTTAAAAAGTTCAAAAAAAAACAACTTGAGAAATCTTTAAAAAATTTAATAAATACAAAAAAATATATATTAATTTATTTTTTGTATATTTGTTAATATTTAGCGTTTTTTTTTTTAATAAAAAAAGATCATAAATTTTATATGTTTTAAGTGTATTTAAATTGAGTGAATCTAAAAAGAGCTCTGCTACGTAGCTTGAATTTGAGCTTGGCCCGAATGGCTCGAATTTCATCTTATCGGTCGTCTGTGTAACGCCCTGTATTTTATTAGTCGGATAACATTACCAATATTCATTAATTTAGTCCATTTACAAATGACAATTCATTTTTTGATGAATAAATAAATATACATGTTCCCTCTCGCTACACAACAATGTCATTTATATACAAATAAAAGAAATGCCCTGAGGCTTACATCCATATTACATACAATGAAAAAAAATACTGATCTCTGAACTACGAGTATATCTTACAACCTCAAAATAAAATCATAAGATTGTTCCATGTCCTAATATTTGAAATCTTCAATTACCTGTGAAGTTTATTAACGTGGGATGAGCACTAATGCTTAGTAGGAATCTCATAGTTCTAAAACAATAACTAACACATAGATAGAAATGATCATCCATGCAGGGTGATACTATATAGCAAGGTGACGTTTTGCATGCCCAAAATATCATAAGTAGAGTATCATTTTCTCAAAATTCATTTGAACATTCAAGAGAACTTTATAAACATTTATCACCGAACATTCAAAGACAACTGTCGTACACTCTATTCCCACTTATCTATCTGTTACATCATATCAACATTTATCATCACTAGTAATTCGACTTGAATCAAGAATATAAACCCCTTTCAATTCAATTTCTCAAATATTTACAATTGATTTCAAATCCCTCTTTCAAA